CCGCCGCGGAGGGACGCTTGCCCGCCGCTGCCGGCCAGAGCCATCGCGGGCACCGCCTGGGAGCAACCTGTCAGCGCACCTCGTAGGCCGTCCCCGAAGGACCCTTCCCACGCGTCCGTGTGTCCCCGAGAGAAGGAGAGTTTGAAGCCCTCTCCATGCCTTATCAAGTTCCTTATCTCACTGGCGGCCAGAAATTGTAGACCAGTTCAGCTTTATCTGGTGTAGGGGAGGAAAGCAGTATAGCTGTCATACCCCATCCTAAATCGAGGACCACCTATTCTGATCTGGTTTAATATCTGAAGATGGTGAAATGCGGATTGCCTTGTGAAGCGGCTAGATCCCTGTTGTGGAGCGAGGGCTTCGTATTCACCTTCCAACTCCTGATCTGTGCGCTTTGAGAGGGGACGCTAATCCTTCTCCCTCATCCCCCTTCCCTAAACCTTTCCTTGCTTCCATGTTGCATCGGTCAGAATTTTGGTCAGTGTTGTTTACGGAAGGGGGGGGAGAAAGAAGGCAGTTGAGGTTACAAACAAAAGTACTTGTATGACTCATCTACTGGGATTTAAGACATTCTATCCTTCTTTCAAGGAGCCTTTGCATCTCTTTGAAGGAATCAGATGCTTGTTCCTATTCTTCCAGAGGAGGATGGATTGAAAGTTGTACATTTTAGACTTTTTTTGAGCCACTGCTGATATTATTAAAAGACATAATGGGGCTTTTTCACTGGATTATTGCCAGAATTAGTTTACACACTGAAACAATGAGTTGTTAGGCCTCTCATATGATAATGTTTGTCCTGCTTTAATATAAAGTTGCTGTGGAGGTTTGGGTTAAAAATTGTGGAGGACAGTCTGCATCAGAAGAGGCTCTCTTCATCTCTGGTTGGTGTGGCAACCCCAATCTGTCCTCGATGCCTTCAGCCTTGGCCATCTTCACTTGCCGCCCGAACTCTCATCCATTTCAGGAGCGTCATGTCTACCTGGACGAGCCCGTCAAGATCGGCCGCTCAGTGGCTCGCTGCCGGCCAGCTCAGAATAATGCAACTTTTGACTGTAAGGTGCTGTCCAGGAACCATGCTCTTGTCTGGTTTGATCACAAGACAGGCAAGGTAAGCTGTTTTCTTTATTCAAAAATAATGAATTGCACATGTGTCTTAGCAAGTCCCTGTAGATTGCAGATCACTTTGGTTTTGCTGTAATAAATACGCTTTCGTGTGAGAGGAATAAGATTTGTGTTATAGTTAAAATTATTACTTTTCAGGTAAGTTGGTAATTTCTTCCTAAGCAGAAACTTTAAATGTTATTAAAAGTACATAACACTAACAGTTGAAAATGGTGATGAGTACCTAAAAATTTGCATGCGTATTATTCATTGCTGGAAGTAGGTGATTTTGAGGTGAGTAATACCAACCTGAAAGCACAGGCTTGTATGAATATAAGGGTGTAACAGTATTTTTTTAAATGCTGAGAAATCACTACTTTATTTGAGGATGTAAATAAATCTCATTGTGAGGAATGTCAAAAAATGGATTTAAAAAAAATGCAGTGTTGGTTTGGCACTCTTCCTACTTGCCCTTTTGAAATTTTATAAAGAGTATTTTATTGTTTGGGTCTGATAGAAGGTTTGTTACTGGCAGCAAGAGTATAACGAATGGCATACACGGTATTTTCTCATTGATAGTGAAAACGGTTTTAAAATATATCCTGTGTTGTCTTAACTGTTCCTGTCAAAAGGCTAACCGTCTCATTAAGTGAAATTTAGGGGTTCTGTAGTGCATGTTTTGTCCACTAGGGATTGAACTGGGACAAGTAAAGTTATTTTACTTAATGACTGTCAAGTTAATTTTAAATATCCAGCACAAAATGAACAAAGTGCAATTTCAGTTGCTCTGCACTGTATTTTTTTTTTCAAATATATTGATGTTATGCCCTAGAACTTCACATGCTCTAAATCAGCTCTGTGTTTTAGCTTTGCAGCATACCCTTCTATGAAATGCAGTCAGTGTAGCTCCTGATTTTAAGAATAAGTTAATGCAGTATTTTTTAGTAGTATGACACAGCATGAGGAACAGTACAATGCAGTCAGAGTTCTTAAACCTTCTATTGTTAACTATCCTATGTTATGCAATACCTGGGCATGATGGAACAAGACAAGCGTTTAATTTCTTAAGGCTGGGTTATGGCATGGCTTTCAAGTTACCTGCACATAATTGTGCAAACTGCTATCTGTATTAGTGTTGTTTCATTAAGCATGCTGTTTTGGCTCTGTTGAGTATGTGATGTCCATTCTTGGACGCTTCAGAAAACTTAAGTGTGTGAAATATTTTGTTTAAGCTTAGTTTTTAACTTTTCTTGTTTGACTCAACCAAGTGAAATGTTCCAATTTATTGCACTGTTTTTAAATTAAAAAATAGTGTGCATATAACTTTTAATCAGCATTTCTCATGATTTATAAAGATTTTAATGTGCTCTTTTATGGTTACAAATAGTCTAGCGATATTAAAGATAGTTAATTTGACAAAGGATTGAGTGTTAAGTCTGCTAACTAAGGGACGAACTTAAAACAGTCAGCTCTGGGGGGTTTTGTTTTTAAATTTCAGTTAGCTTTGGCTTCTCTAATACAGGTAAAAAAATTATATGCTTATTAATTTTATCTAGCTGATGTAAAATAGCAGCTTGGTAGTAGTAAGTAAGTGGATGGTAGGTGATAGTTCTTGAGATACCATCATGTGAGGATTTGATGGGGGTCTTGATGTAACTTGCCCAGGTGGGTATTGGGATCAGCAGCCGTAGTGATCAGCCAAAGAGGGGGTTTAAGACTGTGCATAGGAATATGTTACTGTAAATTTTGCATGTTAGATTTTGTGGTACTGTAAAAAGTTTAAAGCATTGATGCAGCAGTATGGAGAATTTTGGTTTCTGTGTTTGCTTCTTGGGAATATGGTCTGGTTTTTCTTCTGGTTGAGTATCAATGGTAAATTGTGAGATAGTTGGAGGAGAGGGGAAAACGCATCATTGTAGATAATAGATATAAAATGCTGTTGTGAAAAGGCAAGTAGATGATGTTGGGAAGTACAGTCTTAATCTTGAATCACAAAAGCTACTTTAAAGAATTCTGTGGTGTTTTCAAAGTACAAACATAAAACTATGCCAGAACATTTGCGTGCAGGAATGTTTATTATCATTGTTTACAGAACTTCTAATAAGTACATCTCGTTTAGAAATATGTCATTATCCTATCAATGACCTGTATTTAAACCTGCATAAATTCTTTTTGCTACAGGCTTTGTAAACATTTCTTAGGAGCTTTTATATAGGACTTTTATAAATTCTGGGTCTTATGAAAGATAAGACCTTGAAATGTTAATTTAGTAAAGGAGAGAAACCTTCAAATAATTCAAAGTAGTTCATGAATTATCTGGGGCTGCAGTTTCGTAAGTTGTGAGTTTGATGACAATACAGGTTTCTGGCATTCCCAGTCACTCAGCCCAGTCTCTGTGCTGCCTTTTGAGCTGCCTTTCAGTTATGCTCTTAATTTTTTTTTTCTTGATAGTTGGGAGTTTTGTTTGTTTTGTTTTAGTGACTCATGTGAGTGATCCTGTTTACTACATAGTCTGTAAAAAATTGTATCAGCATGATCGCTAAAGAAGGGTAGAAACTGAAGAGAGGGAGCATCAGTAAGCAGTGGTAAGGAAACTGGTGTACAATTTTTTTGAAGAAGAAGAGATAGGCTTAAGCTATGTTGCATAAATAGACCAAGTTGAAGATACATGTTATTTACAGTTGAAAGATGTGAATGTTTACTTTGTATAAAGGCATTTTAATTATGCATGGAAAAAAGTTACGTGCCCGAAGGAGATAATGTCTATGGAACACCAGCATTATTAAGGATAAAAGTAGGATGAGTCTTCAGGATCACCTGTAAATAGCAATTAAAAGCAGATGTTTAAAGTTGGATTTGCTTTTTAAAATATTTTTAACATAATATGTAAGCCTAAAAATGTGTAAGAGAAAAAGGTGGAAGGAGGTGATGGGCGGAATATCTGTACTCAGACTTTTTCTGTGCTTAGTAATACTTTTACAGACAACCAGTGCAATGCATCTTTTTGCTTGTTTGTAGAAACAGTGTAATATCTCCTTGTGGATTTTTCATACGGCAATAACATTAGAAGCTTATGCTTAGAATTGGTTTTGATTTATTTTTAAGTAATTACAAGTTAATGAATTTTTTTAAGAGATGCCTGAAAAAGTGAGTCACTAGATATGTAGGAAGTGGATGTTGTGCTGAGCATGGAGCGTTCCAAAAAGTGTGAATCAAAGCAAAAGAAAAAGTGGGCTATAGTTTGGAAAATCTAAATATGTTTGTTCAGCTTCTGTCACTGCATATGGGCAGAAACTCTGTAAAAACTGCTTAACTGAAATAGTCTTAAACTTATTTTTTGTTTTTCTTTTTGGTTGGTTTGGTTTTTGTTTTTAAAAACAAGCAAGTTGAAAACCCTTGAGAATTTGTATGTGACTTCTCCCAGGCTGAAATGCTTCTGGCAGATGTGATGGAAGCTTTTAGTAGAAACCTGAAGTTTCCAGCAGATACCCAGGCTTTCAAAAATTGGAATTATTCAGTGCCTTAGATTGTTGTGAGTGGCTATTATGAGTACCTTTTATAGAGAATCCATTGCCACAGTTTACCAATTGTGCTGGGAAACTGTGTGAGAAATATTTTCTTAGACCAAAAGGACTCCAAATAACTGGTCATTTTTAACAACTGAAGAAACAGTGTAGGCACAAGTTTCCGTGTTAGGGTGGTAGCTAGTGCTACTATTTTCATTTAGTTCAAAGTGGGTATGAATTGAATTGAGCATGTTCATAGTATATTGCTTACAGAAATGATAACTAGTAAATTGAAAGCCAAATAGTCCACATGATAGCAAATGAAATTTGTTAAGGCTGTACTTTATGGCTTCTAGGCTTTAAATATGTGAGATATATGTGAGTGTTACAGAACGCTTCCTGCAGGGAGCACCCTCTTAAAAGAAAACAAACCAACCCTACCCCTCCAAAAAAACCCCAACCAAACCAAAAATGAACACCCCAAAACAGCAACCCCAAAAGTACAGCCAGGGAATTACAGAATGGCTAGATTTGAGTCCCTGGGAAAATCATGGAACAAGTTTTGGAACACTTTCCTGGGCACATGAAGATGATGATTTGGTAATGGTCAGTATGAATTTAGCAGGGATAATCATGTCTGATGAGTCTCATTGCCTTGTATGATAAAATGACCAGATTTTGGGCAAGGGAGAGCAGTGAACGCTATTTACCTTCAGCAGGGCTTTTGACTGTTTCCCATGGTGGTCTTCTAAGTTAGGGCACTGCAATCTGGATGTACGAACAACTAGATTAGCAAAATAAAACCAGTCTGAGGCTCAGGCTCAGTGGTAGTGGTTAACAGGTGGTGCTCTGCCTGGATGCTGGTAACAAGCAGAATACTTCAGGAGTTTCTATTATGAGCTGTCCATTTAACATTCTTATCGATGACCTGAAGGACGTGGTGAAGTACACTCCAGTCAAGTATGAAGATGACACCAAATCTGGGGGCGTTGGTGTGGTGGGGAATGAGTTGACATGCTCAAGGGCAGGGCTGCCATCCAGAGGGACCTGGCCTTGCTGAATGTATGGGCAGTCAGGAACCTCGGGAGACTGAACAAGGACAAATGTGAAGTCCTGTGCTTGGAAAGGAAGAACCCCTTGCAGCTTGTTAGACCAAGGGTACTGCATCTAATTTTGGACCACCAATGCAAGAAGTACATTGATAAACAGGAGTTGAAAGATTAGATGCTCTCTTTTCTTGCTGCATTGTACTAGGGATAAAAGTATATTGACCATGAAAGCAAGAAGAGAAAGAATTTGTAAATAGGAAATATGTTGTTCACTTAACATTACTTGTTTTGTGTAGAAGAATTTGGCAAGATTCAAGAAGTATAGGACATCTTCTCTGGACATCCTGTTTGTTCAGAAGTATTTTAGTGAATCTATCTTACAAAATTTAGTGCAATATTAAAAATTGTGTTTGACACTGCAGGATTTTAATGGGAGATTTTTTTTCTGCTGC